ACCCGCACACACCACAGCGGGAACACAGCCGTTCTGTACCGATCACCCAGTTAGCACTTTGTGTACAAATAACACAAAAGAACTAGTTGCGAAATTGCTGAAGAAAATTCGTAACTCGTTTTTTTCTTTTTTTTTAACAGCATCTTTATCGATAAGGTAAATAACCAGAAAATCACCTCAGCAAGAAATGAAGTGCCGCTGTGGGCTTTTTTTTTTTGTCGTTGCAACCAAAATGTACATCAAGTCTTAAATAGAGTCTCCTGTTAAATCAGCCAGTTTTGGCTGGCAAACATATGGCAGACTTCAAAATTCATCCAAGACAAATAAGTGCTCAGAGCTGTAAATGTACCTCCTTCACTCTAGTTCCAGAGCTGACTATATACAAGATTACTCTGTACTACACAGTACCCCTAGAACACAGCATTCTTCCACATTTCCAAGACATACAAGTTATCTATACCTTTTTCTGCAAAAGCATACAGTTAGTCCATTGATTTGCTATTCACCTACTTCTAGTTCAGCTTCTATTCTAGCTTACAACCTACAGAGTTTCCCTTACGTGTTCTGACATCGTTGCTCTATAACTGGAGTCACTCCCCCTTACAACAGGAGCAACCCTTTCCCTCATTGTCACAGGCTTCTCAGCTACTGAAAAATAACTCACCAGTCAGTATCAGAGAAAACAGTGAAAAATCCACACCTAAAAAGAAATTCCAATTTTTCAGGGTGTTCCATTTACACACAGACAATTCAGTATCCTGGTAAGCAAAATGAAATAAACAACAGAGGCAACGTAGTAAAAGCTTACATAAACTGAATTATCAAGTTGGTGTGGAAATCCCCTGAGCTGGCAGTTAAGGACTTTCTTCAGTCTTTGTGACAGGAAAAAAATAAATCACAAGAACAGAGAAGGCAGAATTATACCATCAGTTTATGCTCACTGTCACAGTACCTACTGTGAGACAAACTTTTACAATGCAGTAACAAGCACAACCACCTACAATCCATACAGCAGGAACTACCTACTTTCACTTAACCTAAGAATGCAGCCCCACCAGTCCTTGGCACTGAGGATCCTGGATTTACATGTAGAGTTACCATCTGCATTATGGATGACGGCTATTTGTGAAACACTGCTCTCCACTGCAGCTGTTACTTGCACCTTCCTTACAAGTCACTTGCATCAGCCATACATACAGTCTCAGTGGGGATTAGGCTTTAGAGCTGGGCCTGCCCAGTTCTTCATGGAAATCTTTCTTCTAGAGGTTTCCAATTCACATTTCAGTATCTGAAGGCATCTTCCTACAAATTCAACTTTCATCCAGACAATGCTGCAGAAAGCAGGAATTGTATCTCAGATGTAAAAGCACCTCTCATTGACTATGATGAGATACTCAGCACAGCAGACTACTCGTTTCCTTCACCTGGGGAGCAGCAGTAGCCATGTCAGGGTGGCCAGTGTCGAACCTTCTGCTTAGTATTTATTGATGCCGAAGATCCGAACGCCGTGCAGCTGCGGCAGCTTGGGGATAAGCACAGTCAGGAGAGAGGTGGTGTTGAGGATAAAGTGTATGGGGTCATACTTGGTGTAGAAACTTGTCAGCAAGTACCTGCAGGAGAAAAAGGAGCACTCTTAGCTGATGGAACTAAAAAATAAACAAACATGGCAAAGTTGAAAAAAGTGCTTTAGTGATCAGTAAGATTTACTGGCTAATGACTGATTTATTCCTGTATTAAGCATCTCACCTGAGGTTCTAGGATATCTACAGCAAAATTACAGTCTAAGTCAGTTCTTCCCATACTTCTCAAGGTGCTAAAAAAACCCTCTCAGCTAGTATTTTCCTCCAGCACTTCTCCTCACCCCTCATGCCAGAGTTTGACCTCTGCAGCTCTAAGCCTGGTTCATAATACAAATTTGAAATAGTGTAAGATCCGCTGCCAAAATCCTTGCAGTTCCGCTACACCAGCAAGCTCAGTGACAAAGCATTTGACATTTTTCAGTGCAAAAATGATTGATGCTGAGCACATCTGTGACTGGTGTGATTTTAAAATGTTTCCTGTCTGGCAGATGTTTCCAGCACATTTTTCTTTCAAGCTAGTTCACAGTCTCATCATCTAAAAGAATTAAGAAATGTGTCTCAGAAAATCCAATTCACTACCAACTTCTTTATGCTTTGAGCCAGTAATTTTATCCTGTTCTTTGCAAAAACTCATCAAAGAAATGAGGCAATCAGATTGTTGGGGTTTTTTTCCCCAGTAAAACAGAGATGTTTATTCATTTACTTAGGCATTATTAATGCATCAAGAGAACCAATACATGAGTGTTATGAATGCAAAATTCCCACTGTGAAGTGGGAAACTATCTTTGAAGAAAGGTTTTTTTTGACGAGTTACATATACTTTTTCAGTTTCTATCCTTCATGAGCCAACTTTCTAAACAGGACACTGGATCTTCCCTTCCTCCTCCTGCCCCCTGACATGCAAATGGGTAACTTTCTTTAGGGAAAACCAGGAAGACTTTTGGAGTTGCATATTAAATACCTACCTGATTGCCTTTAGTTACACAACCATACTTTTGTCAACAGAGACAGGGGTGTAGAATTTCTGAGCCATTTACATAACTAGTGTAAACAGGAGACAGTATGTACAAAGCAAACCTGACACTGGACCCCATTCACTGCCACACAGTTGCAAAATGGTTAATAAATGCTGTCACCAAGGCAATTAGTTTAGATTTTCAATATTTACAAACTTCACAATCACTTAAAAAACTTAAAAGTAAATTTTCTTTGTAATGTTTTTATTCTAACCAGCCCCATTAATAACTGTTTACGAACTTTGACTTCAGTATGTGGAGTGTCAAAAGCAGCAGCAAGAAAGCCTGTTGATTACATGGCCTGAAATATATACTCCCTACCTCTGTGATGTAGAAATAAACAAACAAGCAAGCAAAAAAAAAGAGAGAAAATGCTTTTAGAATGTGAATTGCAACCCGTTATGTTGCAGCTTGTGAAACCATAGTTTTATGATTCAATGAATCTGTAATACAGTTTTGAACTCACAGAATTATAGGAGAGATTGTGAAGAACTTTCTTGAAGATGTGAACTGTACTCCATAATCCAGTTGCTCCCAGTGTGTTAGTAGCCTAGCTTTCCCCTGATCAGGTGTTTCAAAAGGAGTTCCCTTTACTGCATGCAAAAACACATACATTCCCTGGGGAAAATAAAAAGTGAACACAGAGGCACTTTTAGCTATATTTTTTTTAGAATTGTTACATTGTTCAATGCATTGTGAAAAGGAAGAAAGTGAGTGAATTCTCACTCAGAAGAGCTGCTAGCCTGTGATGACAAATTAGCCAAGGGGAAGGCAGAGACAAGATTTGCCTGAGATTGTGCAGTCAGTGGCACAGTCAAAGTCAAAGTCCATGTGACATCCAATCCACTCCCTTCCCTTCTACATTGTATGGCAAAAAATTCCATGAAATCAACAGTATTTGAACAAGCACTGGAACAAGTCTGGGGCAGCTGATTTATATTGCCACCTTCCTAACATGGGAAAAACTACCCATGAATAGAGGCAATATCACAAGGCCTGAAAGCTTTCTCAGCCTCACACCAGCTTCAAATCCTTAGGAGCTGACTGCAGCAATCTGTTGAACACCATCTGCCCATATCTTTGCAGCTTCTCCTTAACCATGCTGGACTTTGTGCCTGTTTCTGTTTGACAGAATGATGTCTGGTCTGTTCAGAAAGATCAGTTTGGGCCCAGTGGTTTTAGACAGGGGAGTTTGCCCTTTTCTACTTTAAAAGCATTTGTTTTCCAGCAGGGAGAACACACCAATTCCAAGCAAGGGTCTCTATCAGAAAATATCAGACTTCCTTTACTTTCTTTCAGGTTCTTAGGCATATACCAAAATTGTAATAGAAAGCTTTACATAGAAAAAAAATCACATTCTTCCAAATTCTTATAATGGAGGTGAAATTTCAGCAAGACATTTCATGTTTTCTTCCACCCTTTTCTGGAACAGCCTCCAGACCAGATGTCTATGAACCTAAGACAATTGATTTGCTTAATTAATTTTTTGATTTGTGACACTTGCAGTGTATCGGTCTTAATAACCAAAAAGAGACTTTTAGGACAGATCCAAATCCTTACAACACGTTTTATTTCACGCTGGTACTTGCAGAAAGGACCACTAAAAATGCTTTCAAGACCAGCTAAGATTTCCATTAGTGGAAAGCCAAGATTTTATTATTTGTCAAAACATTCAAGGATTTGTGCCACTTAAATGGTGAAATATCCAAAAGTGCAGTTTATACTCATCTTCTACTGTTCCACTACAAAACTTGCCAGTGCATGCTCCCATCCCTGTTGCCATTACAGCTACTTGCAATGAATTCAGTAAGGCATTTGGGAAATATTTGGTAATACCTGTCTCTGCCAACATTTTCCCATGTCAGGCATGTCTGATGCTGTCAGAGATAACATACAAAATGCTCTAATGGTGATTACTATTTCACTAGTACCTTTAAACCTATCTACAAAAGGTAAAAATTAAAGTTTTACACGATTCAAAAGAGTATTATCCCTCCTCAGTCTTTGAAGTAAACTGTAATTTTCCTAAATAAGCAAGGAGCTTTGCTGTTCATCTTAGAAAGCTTAGCAACCCTGAAGTATGATGTAAATTGCTGGATTATGGCCCTCTTTGCTCTAAGCATGGCAGGACCAATATGCATACTTGCATTACTTTAAATGATTACTGTAAAATTCCACCCTGAGGAGAGGACACAGAAAGATTTTGAAGGTCATCAGCTTCCAAAATCTTTTGCATACAAAAGACATCATGCAAATCACGATCCACTGAATAACAAATGGTTTCAGGGCTGGGGTCAGAGTAGTCCAGTTTTTCCCACCGCTTTCAAGCAAGATGTCTCTTATGTCATGTATAGTGACAAAGTTGTATGCTGAAGTCATTCTGAGCTACAGTTTGCCTAGCTTGGCCAGAAATCAAAGCAGGAAGAAAAAGAACACAAATGTTTCTGTCCAAGGAAACAAGTGAAGTGCTGAAGTTAAACATTTTGGGACACTAACAGATTTATGCATTAAAAATAGTAGATAATATCCAATAATTAAAAATGTGGCATGTTTTATGGATTCAGCACAGCTCTCTAATAATACACTGTAAAAATTGGTTGGCAGGATGGTTTCATGTCTGCACCATTCTAGCTTAATTAAATGCCTTTCAAAAGGATACGTGAACTATGCAAGGAATCATACAGTGATCCTGTGTCACTCTCCTCCCCAAAACAGCCAATCACTTGTGGATGAGCCAAGCAGAGGTGCTGTTTTGCCTCCCAGGATTTCATGATCCATCCGGCCTGGCTATATTTTTCACCTCTCTTGCTATGAAAAATAAGTAACATATGAACAACTTTTCCAATTCTGTTAGAGAAGAAGGTACTCACCAGGTTGTGAATGACATTTGTGAGAGTCCAGGCGACAGGGACACTAAAGAAAGGAATGCTGAGCAGGACAATGTGCAGCATGACGACTCCCAGCACATATGTCAACCACATGCCACGGCTGTTCATCACCCGAGTGTTTGGGTTGACCTCGCTGTGGGCAACTCCTACGTTCATTTTTACCCTATAAAACAGATCTGTTGGAAGATTGAGACTACTGTTACACAGGAGTGTTTAACATAATGCAGTTTTCAAGTTTGGGGAAGGTCTGGTTTAAACAAGCAGGTCTGGAAAGAACATAGTGCATGAGCCAAGACAGGCCTCAAGATCTTCAAACTATGGTTTAAGGATAAGTCAGTACAAAGCGGCAGTTGGCAAATGTTTGTTCAAAAAAAGGGCAAAGAAATACAACTCATATAGAAGGGACATGCAAAAAAAAAAAGTAAGCTGTGTTGTTAGAAGCTGAAGTTGCAAACCTGTAAGAAACTGAGCTTGTAACATTTGCCCTATTAATTACTTTCTCTGTTATAGTATCCATACTTCTTTCCACTTCCCACATCAATTTTCCTCCTGTTTCTTGTTCATGTGAAGGTCAGTGAAGAAATCTGCATACACCAACTACCCAGCCACCTACTGCTAGGAGGGATGGCCAAGGCCCAGTTTACGCCTGTTTTTCTTGCAGCAGAGTGCAGGTTTCAGATCTTTCTCCCCTACCCATCTGTTAGTTTTCAGGCTGACATTTCCAGCTTTCAAATCTGCCTGAAATTAGCCAACGGGTTCAAAAGTTTTCTAAGTGACAGACATGCAGAGATACACCGGACAATTCCATACGCCAATTTATTCAGAAAATGGACAGACCTTACTGATAGTGACACTCTCATCCTGTTGCAGTAAAACTGGCAATGCTAGTCAGGCGATCTGTGAGACTATATTGATTTATGGGGCTGGAATGGAGATTTTTTAACTTTCACCTGGATCAAGACTACCAAGGCTCTGTTTAGCCAGCAAAAGCAGCTTGCTGTCGGTAGGGAGTTTGTTTCTGCCACTCTCCGAGTGCCGTACAGCACTATCAAACACTCGGGCGTTCGGCAACGTTAGCAGCTGCGGGATAAAGACAAATGCGGGGCCACT